CGCGGAAGCCTATGATTCCATCATCCCGGAAGGCTTAGACCCCGGTGTCTTTAGATCGTACTGTGCTGGTGTAGGGACAGTCCCATGATTCCCCTCCTAAGGCGACGGTAGGCAGCGAGCGGCGCGGGGAAAGAGTAGTGAGTGGAGGCGTGGAGGAGGAGGGAGGGGAAGTGGCGTTCACGGTCGTTTCACTCCGTGCGAATCAGAGTAGCGACGGATAAGGGCGGGTGTGCCCGAAGACTTCCAGACGACCAGAGGCGCCAGCGAAACAGAAGTCGGATTTGACATGTGTTTTAGTTAAACGTATTGAGGGAAGGTCCCAAGTTTAGATAGGGTTTTCATTGCGATATTAATGATTTGACAGTGGGTGGGAACAACGATGCAAGCCGTAAGTAATCAGGGGGGCGCTTTAATAAGTATATTACTCTATTGTCACTTGTTATGTATTTGAATGAACCGAGAGATATGACTCAGGGATTCAACTGATGTCACTGCAGTCTCCCTGACCGGGAAGTTCTAGGATTCGAGTCTCGACGGCGGCAAAATTTTCGACAGTAGCTACACAGATAGGTCGAAATTCAATTGCTATGTGGAGGAAAATTCTAGAGGCAGGTTGCTCTGATCGGTAATTTTCCGTGATTTCTCCGATCAATACCAGTCGAATACTACAGCAGCACCCTAACAAACACGCCACGGACCGCGCTTGTTCTTTTCTACCTCTTCCTTGTCCTATCATCACCCTTTACACACACTTACGCTAACATGCACTACACTACCACACATGCCGGGAGCTTTGAGCTTGTCTTTGCTGGGTCGGTGCTCCGCTGGCGGGAGATATTTCGTTGGGGAAAACCCCGCTAGCCGACAGTTGGTCGGCGCCGAATTTCCACATACTGCGGGGAAAGACCCCCCCCCTGAGCCAAAACATTCACTAAACTTACGGGACGATTGACTGTAGTAGTTGACATGCCCGGATTCACTAAAGAGCAGTGAATCATATTTGAATGATACCAAGTAAATGCTTTTATTGCCCTATAACAATATGTCACATGCTAATATTTGAATGGAGATATAGTTGTCGTAAAGATCGTTGCATTAGGGTCACATGCCGTGCTAGGAAGTTTAAACCTGAATTATTTATTTAAAATTAATGCTTATGATGAATGCAGAATATAATCGTCCTTCACAATATAAAGCATTTGCGAATAGTACAACAACAACAACAACAACAACAACAACAACAATAATAATAATAATCGTTATAATACGTTATAATAATATAATCGATATTATAGACGATAATAATCGTCTTGCGGTTAATGGTGTTGGAGAGACAGAGACTAATGGTGAAAGAAGGTTTATAAGTGATTACTGATTAGCAAATTAATATACGACTTGGTGGGGAGATTATTCGTTTCTTTGGATGGACGAAATTTGTTAGTGAATTATTGTTTCAGTATTACTTCTCATATTATTTATTGTTTGTAAATTATGTTTTAATTATATATTTTGTAATAATTGTGCATATTGTGTATCGTAATATCGGAAAACGGGACACTAATTCATTGCTCCTATGTCATCAATCAGAGTCCCTCCTCCCCAAAGAATTCCCTCTCCCAATTTATTGTGAGAAAAACATTTCAAAATTATTGACATTTTAAAAAGTCATATATAATCTAACAATTCTATTGTTTTACTATTTTGTATAAAAGTATGTCTGAATGTTTGTGTCTGTCTGAGTATCAGACTGTGTGCTTGTTCGGGATAATCTCTAGAATGGCGAAATCGATTTTGATGCCGTTTTCAGTGAACGCTCCAGTGTTTTGTTGGACATATTTACATTTTTTAAATAGTATTTTCTCATATACAATGAATACTGCTTATTTGTTTGTTTTTTAGACAAATCTACACTTTTATTACGATCTTTATAAAAATCGAAAACATGTTGTACTGCTGTTTCTGACCTTCAAAAAAATTACAAATATTTCGTAAAAATTATCCCTTAAAAGAAGATTTTAAAACCCTTTATAATATTTTTACGTTAAGTATAATTTTTTCAAATTTTTTACAAATATTTAGAAAAGACTGACGTAATCTATCAAAGTAGCAATTCTTAATGCTAATACAATGTGCTTCTAAATAATTTTTAATTTATTGCGATAGTATCATAAACCTTTGTGTAATTGCAGGCCAAAACTGTCACTTCAACTTTGCCCGCAATACACAACATTGCATTTGTTTACAGCTACCTGTAACATTGGTGATGGTGGTTGGAAGGCTAGCGCGGGAAGTGATAAGCCCCAGTGTTAAAATTGTACCCACTAAGAAATGAAAACTCAAAAATCATTATCGACACGTAAATGAACATTTTAAAATATATCGAGACCTTCACTAACATACGCTTGTCAAATTTCGGGGAGGTGCAGCAAGCAGTAATTTAAATAAACTACATATAATTCAAAACAAGTATTTACGCTGGACAGTAAACGCACCTGGTATATGCGCAAGGAACAAATTCAAAAAGAACTCTCTATATGTCCAATAAAACAATGAATCGACGGACTCTCCACCCGATTCTACACAAACCTACCATTCTACCCTACAATCCAAAAATTTAAATTAGGTTGCATTTCGTACCCGAATACAAGAATGAAAAGTCGGAATTACAAAAAAAACTTCGACCTTCGTAAAATAACAGAAAAGAATCACTTGATTAAAACAAGTTAGAAATAAATTGGAGTAGCTAAAGGACCCTTGCTGGACCTCTCTCTGTCATTAATTAATATTTAATTGTAAGTTAACAAGCTTTAATTGTAAGTTAAAAATCTGTAAAAAATGCTGTACGTTGCCAACTTCATATGAAAACATTACGTAAGATTCAAAACCTTGAAATGTCTAACAAGCCGTACAAGGATTAATAAATTTAAAAATAAAGAATGATCCCTGGAGAAACAGGTTAGAAGCAGGAATGGAACGGGGTAGTCCAGGACAGGGATACACTGCTGATAGAATGCATTTCTTGTGTGATGGTGTGACATATAATTAACTGGACAATGCATAGCAGGCTCTCGGTGGCTCGTTGGTTAGCGTGCTCAGTTTTCACGGCGTAACCCCGAGTTCCATTCCCGGTCGGGGCAAAAATTAATTGTGCACTTTCCATGCAATATCCTAATAACTGTTGCTGTGTGACGGTAAGAAAGCTTTTCAATAATGAATATGAGTTAGTCAATTAATTGACAATGTTAATAGAAACGGTACAAATTGTAAGAGGTGAGATAATCCACAAATCAACAACAAGATTTAACACTTTAATACTATTTCATTCAACAGTTATTATTTAGATTAATTTTATGTGAATTTTTCCCCAGGAACGCCCTTTTGTCATAGTGATCACATGAGCCAAATACACAAAAATGAAAACAATTATCCGTGATCAGATTGACTGATACATTTTCACTATTGCTATGTACTCTGGAAGAAGAACTCGCCAGTTATATAAAGAATTGCACTTCACGGGGTGCCAATAATGTTTAATTTAGGTTTTTATTTTAGAATTGGCAATTTTGTTCACGATTGGCATGTTTGTGGCTCGAAGGCCGTCCTAGCAAGGGGCCAGCAACCTAAAGCCGTGGTAGCTTCCCCGGCTGAGCGGCGCTCGCCGCGGGCGAGACTGCGTCTCGGCGGAGGGTGTGTCGGCCCAAGACGGCGGGGGCGGACCACGAAGGGCGAAGGGCGACGCCTCGGCCCTTGGCCCCGCCCTGCCCTGCCGGCTGCCCTGCCCTGCCGTTCGGGTCAATTGCCGGAGGCGGCGAGGGCGGGCGGCGCGGGGAAGGGTTTACGGCGTCGGCCCTAAGGAAGTGCATTGTTCGCGGAACAGTGCGTTCGCTGGCCGCCCGCGGCGCTGCCGCGCTGCGGCCACGACCCCTCCCCTGACGCGAGCGGCGAAAGTCGCGGGTGGCGTTGGCGGCCCCGAACGACACGGACGCCTCGTTACATACATTGTGAGAAATAAATCATTTACAGCATTAATTAAGCACAATTTATTACCATATTTTTTAAGTAAACGAACTTAAGTTTTCTTCTTTTTAGTAATTAAAACACAATAAAAAGTGAAAATGTTAATAACTAACAAACAATAGTTGAGTAGGGATTTTATGAAGACATTGACGTAACTGCCAACATGAATCTGACCTAACTGCAATATGAATCTACTTCTATTCCTTATTTCCCTCTAGTCATCCAAAACTAATGTGAATAGGAGTTTCTGTACGATAAATTGAAAATTGCTTTTACAGTACTTACTAATTCTACAAAATATAATTTATAGCTTTAAAAATATTGCAACATTACTTTTATGTAAACAAACATCATGTTTCTAATTAAACATATCACGAGATATATCACGAGAATATCACGAGATTTCTTCAGATTAATACCACCGTTTTCCTCCATTTTTATCTCAAATAACATCTAACCTCGCACTTAATACAATTTCTTTGTATGTGGGTTTATAATACATGTAGTATTTATTTAAAAGCCATAAATTGTGGAACACAAATCCAACATATATTTAAAAAAATGGAATTCGTTGGAGTGGTTGGCACATTATATTTAGAATTTTAAATGAAATGTGTGAGGATAGGCTTCTTGTTCTATTAAAATTAATCATTTGAAGATATATCATACAAATTAGAATAACTATGTGTATTTAACAAATATTAATTTATTGAATTTGTGGTTTTTTAAGAGATCGGATTATATTTACTTCATAAAAGACTTATTTACGTGGAGAAGATGATCGTGAAGAACAAAACGTAAACTACTCCTAGTGACAGTTAATCCCACATTTTTATACGAGGGCTGACAACTTGTATACGACACCTTACGCCCTACATATAAGGTCACTCAGAATTGAAACTATCAAAACATGATGAGAGTAGAAGCGAGTAAATGTTGCTCCAGCTTCAGATAAAGCAAAAAGGGTACAAAAGAGCACTCACCCCTGTTGAGGCCGGAGGGCGACATGGAGCCGGGGCCGCGCGTGGGGTCGGGGCCGCAGGAGCTGGGGCCGCAGGGGCTGGGCCCGCAGGGGCTGGGGCCGCACGAGCCGGGGCCGCGCTCCGCCATCTTGGAGCCGGTGGGGGTTGTGCTGACGACAGTGGGGCTGCCCACGGGGCACTCGCTCTGCTGCGCGGGCGCCTGCTGCTGCTGCTGCGACGGAGGCGGTGGCTGAGGCTGCGCCTGCGGCTGCTGTTGGGGCTGAGACTGCGGCTGCTGAGGCTGCTGCGCCGTCGCCTGCTGCTGCGCCGGCTGCTGGCTGGGCGGCTGCGGCTGCGGGGTCGAAGGTGGCTGCTGCTGCTGGACCGCGGAGGCGGGCTGCGCCGTGGGGGCCGGGGGTGGCGGCGGAGCGTGGAGCGTGGGGGCGCTGCTGGTGCTGGCGGGCACGGCCGTCACGCTCAACACGCCCTCGCGCGCGACGTCCTGGATGGCGGTGGCGGCCCGGGAGCCGGCGCCCGCGGGCTGCAGGATCGTGTACTGCTTGGAGCCCGAGCCGGCGACGGCGTCCGGCGAGCCCACCGAGGACGCGACGGCGCCCTTGCTCGAGGACGACACCGAGGCGTCCCCGCGCTGCTTGGCGTCGTCGCTGGCGCGCGCGTCCGCCCCGCTCGAGGGCGAAGAGGACGTCACTGGCTTCGGCTTCAGCTGCAGGAGCGTGCTTTTGTCGTCCAACGACACTGTGTCTCCGCCTTCCGGGGGCGGTTCGGGGACGCCCACGCTACCAGGATACCTGACGACAACAGAGAAGACCACGGTCAATGTCACGGGGAATGTTTGGATTATTATCGGAAAAGTTTTTGACTACAAATATCTTACTGCTCAAATTATTTTTAGGATTACTTTGAACATGCATTAACAAATAAATGCAAATGGATGTAGACTGATGCAGATTCACAGTTATATTGAATAAAAATCGTAATTGAACTAAGGAAATACAATATAAAGAGTACACCGCAACAACGCACATCGAAGACAAAAGCAAGTAATTTAATCAATATGTATTGAACAATATGTATATTTGTAGAGGGAATATGCAGAGATAATATAGTTCTGAACATTTATCTTCAGTGGTTAATAATGGAATGAATGCGAAAAAATAATTTTAAAAAATGGGAGAAGGCCACGATAACATAACAAAATTGAAATATAGTGTTCTAGAATAATATCTATTAATGACAAGGTTACCACTAATTCGATTACATGCCTTGATTAAGATTTGCAAAATAGAAAAACTACGTCAGTAATTAACGAAATGTTTTTGTTAAAAAAATATGGAACAGTTTCTACAGAAGATAAAACAATTACTCAATGACAGTAATAGTAAAAAAAGTAATTCTGGACTTTACAGCAACAAACATTAATCCTAACTATCTAAACAAAATGTTCTTGAATAACAACGTCCTTTATCTCATACCTTACAGAAATATTCCCTTCATCAACTGAACCTTTCTGACACGATTTGTAAGATACTGACAACACACCTGCAGTTTTCCTATTCTTTATATGTTGCCAGTAAAACCTCTGATAAGAATACATGGCGAACAGGAGTTCAATATTTTATTTGATTTCAATTTCTATGTTCTACAAAATTTCCTATTGCCACCGGTCAATAACTGAAATTAGGGCTTGAAGTTCCTAAGAAGTCTACGCGCTAATCACAAAGTCGTATGGTAGCATAGAGAAAAGCACTTGTCTGCAGCCAACAGATTCCTGTATGCTGTGCCCAGGCAGATAGCGAAAAGTAGCCCAACAGCTAATCAGTTTGCTATAGCAACGTGGACGTTTAGTATATAACTGCACACACAATTCACTTAATCAGGCATCGTTTCTATCTAGTATTTCCCCCTACGCCTACGTCGTGTGGTGTGGCGGGAGCGTTGGGAGCGGGGGGGGGGGGCGGCGAGCGGCGCAGGGCGTGGACGCACCCGACGAAGGTGGCGGCGGCGGGGAAGGGCCCGAGGGGCACGGCGCTGTGCAGGTCGAGCGCGGAGGGCGAGGGCCGCTCCGTCTTGATGGCGCGGAAGGCCGAGCCGGCGGAGAAGGGCGCGCCCGCCGAGGAGAGCTTGTGGCCGAAGGCGCCGCCGCCGCCGCGGGGCTCGAAGCCGCGCTCGCCAGCGAAGCCACCGCCGCCGGGGCCCTTGTGCGGGCCGGGGCCCTCGCCCTTGTGCGCCATCGCGCCCACCGACGGCTTGCGCTCGCACTCGTCCTCTTCCCTGTCCCCCGACGGGTCTGACATGTCGATCTCCAGCTCGTTGGACGAGTCGTCCACCAGCTCGTTGAAGTCAGGTTCGTACCTGCGGCAGGGCCAGAGGCGGTCGGTTACTCGCGGGGAGAGCGAAAACGGCCACAATGTGCACAAATTATACCAAAAAGCGATCAATACATTACAGTTAATAGTAATAAAATATGTTATATGAGTATTAAATGGCTCTCCTGTCTTCAGGATTCATGTTCTCTATTATAAAAAATGTTAATTGGTTACATTTTCAAAGTGAGACAATTACGAGAAGCATGTTCATATGGTCTTTAGAAAAATCTGTTAATCAATGAATCCTTAAAATGAAATTTCTTATCAAATTTGAGAATAAATTTTGCAGTGATAGTGAAATAAGCTAGGAAAAGACCAAGCAGAGTTAACTGTGCCTTTGGATCGCGGGGGAGAAGCCCTAGCCGAGGCAGGCGCGGGGCCGTACCTGGAGGCGGAGGCGTACTCGGCGCCGGGCGGGCGCTCGTGCGGGGGCGGCTGGGCGGGGCCTGGTCCGGCGGCGCCCCCTCCGCCGCCTCTGCCCTTGCTGCCGACCTGCGACTGGATGGTGGCGCACTCGTTCTCGATCTTCAGCAAGTTCTCCAGCTCGTTGCCCTCGGCGTGGTGGTAGGCCGTGTGGCCGGGGCCGTTGCCCAGTGCGTGTGGCTGGTGCAGGTGGTGGCCGGGGCCCGGCGGGTGGGCCTGCGCGGGGCCGTGGGCGCCGGGCGGCTGGTGCGAGACGTCGCGCGCGTCGCGGTTGTGCGCGGACGAGGCCTTGGAGGCGCCGCCGCCGGAACGCTGCGTTGGGATCTTGGAGGGGGCGCTGCTGGGGCCGTTGGCGGCGTCGGCGTCGCCGGCGCGCGGGGTCGCCCTGCCGCGCAGCGTGATGACGTCTCGGCAGCGAGCACGAGGACGAGTCGCTGCGGCGCCGCGCCGCCCGCGCCCAGCAGCCGCCGCTGGGGGCTAGCTTGGAGCCGGCTTTCTTCTCCTCGAAGAGGTTTCGAGGCCGGCGACTCGAAGCGGTCGTCGGGCTCGGCGCCCGCTGTAGAGGAGCGCGCGGCCCGGCAGCTGCCGGACAGGCTCTTGAGGGGGCTCCGGTTCCTCGATGGGCGTCTCGTCGTCGGACGGCGTCGTCGCTGGGGCGGGGGCCTGCGCGGAGGCGGCGGGGGCGCGCGGGGCGGAGCCCTGGCGGCTTGCGCACGGCTGCGCGCCTGGGAGCTGGGGGCGAGCGCGCTGCTCTTCTGCGGCATCGGCGGCGGGCGTGCCTCTGCGGCACGCCACGCGGCGTCGGCGTCGGCCTGCTGGCGGCGGGCGGGGCGCGTCGACTGTGGAGTCGGCCTTTCGGCGTCGCTTGGCGGCGAGCGGTGTCTCCGGCGCCGCCGCTTCCTTGTCGTCCTTGCTGGTGTCTTCATGTTGCTGGCGGCGGGCGGCCGGGCCGGCGGGGGCGGCCTGGGGGCGGGGGCGGCGTGGGGGGCGCGCGCGGGCGCCGCGGGCGCGTTGTGGGCTGGCCTAGCGCTGCTGGCGGGGAGGTGCTAGCTTGGCGTCTCTTCAGTCTGCGCGTTGCGCGCGAGCAGCGCGCGCCGCGTGCGGCGGGCGCGGGGGGGCGAAGAGGGCGCTGGCGCGCCGCGGGGGGCTGGCTGGTGCATGGGGGTGGCGGGCACACGGCAACGCCGCGCTTCGGTTAGTTGGAGCTACGCTATGGAAACATTTTCGCTCATTTCTTCGCATTCAACATTTGAGATCTGAACTATGGCGAATGTACAATTAAATACCTCAAATCGACGAACTTAAATGTATTTGACTATAAATAAACTCCGTTGTTGCAAAAAGGTGAGTAAAATTCTTCATTAATGCAAAGTTCCCTTCAAGAAAAATATACTCACTAATATTCTTGCCTACAAAATTGTCTTTTTAAAGAGAGTGAGCTGTAAGTACTCGAAGTAGTGAGACAGACTAACGCAGAAGAGAATCTGTTTTTATTGTAGAAACGAACTTGGAAGAGTTTTAATTCCAAAGTATCATAACTTAAATTCGGAGGGCGTGCACTGTGCATTGTATACTTCTTATTCCGGTGACGCAGTATGTAATACTACTTCCAATGAGTTACAGACACGTACATCATGTATGATTTAACACGTTTTGGCGCGATCTTTCTTACATTTATATCTGTATGGGATTAGTTATTAACCTCTACTTTTTCTGTGGTCTTTGAAACCGAACTGAGTTATGTGTGTGCCGCAGGTTGAAGGCACCTTCTTCTCCTCGAAAGCGCATTGCGAGTAAAAGCAAAGAGTGTGACTAATTTTCTGCCGTGCTCTGCTTCTGCTTTCACCGGAACCCGATATAGCGTCACCGAGCCCTGTTCATTCGACCACTCGGCGCGGCTCCAGTAATTGAGTCGGCGCTTCGCAGCGCGTGGGGTGGCGGTTGCGGTGGCAGAGATATGACTAATTAAATGTAAAACCGTGTCCGTCAGCAGTCGCTCTCCGCGCGCAGGAAAACGGTTCTCAACAGCCTTCTCAAAAATCGATGTTATCGAACAACGCGGACGAAGAGGTTTGCCTTCGAGATTCTCGAGGGCGGGTGTGGAGGGGAGGGGAGGGGGAGAAGCCGAGGTTTCGATGCGGCACTGGCGGCCTCGCAGCTTTAGACATAGATTTAATCAACTGGTTGCCGTACCAACATCTGTAACTGTCTATTTAGGACCGCGCCCGTTCCCAATGCGCGGGCCCGCTTCCCTCGTCCGACTTCTTCCGCCCGGCCAGGGGGTGAGGGTAGGGTGGGAAGGCAGGGGCGGAATCAGTCGTAGTGGGTCGCTCTCCCCCTCCCCGAGCTTCCTTTTCCGCCTCTGAGCGCTCACGTTTCCGGCATTAAATGAATCTGATGTTCTTTTATACAACGCCCGGTGCTGAGTGAAGGCGCGTCTTCGGAAGAGGCAGCGACGAGAGCGAGCGGAGCGAGCGAGGAGGAGGGCCGAGTGGGAGGGGGGGTGAGAGGGAGGGAGGGTGAGAGGGAGGGAGGGTGAGAGGAGGGAGGGTGGAAGAGGGAGGGAGGGTGAGAGGGAGGGAGGGTTGAGAGGAAGGGAGGAGGGAGGGTGGTGAAGGAGGGTGAGAGGTAGGTAGGGTGGGAGGGAGAGTGACAGTCAGGGTGAGAGGGAGGGTTGGTGAAGGAGGGTGAGAGAGAGGGACGGTGGGTGAAGGAGGGTGAGAGAGAGACGGTGGGTGAGGGAGGGTGAGAGAGAGGGACGGTGAGAGGGAGGGTGAGAGGGGGGGGAGGTGCAGATAAAGGGAATGGCAATGTTTCCAGATGGGATTGTGTTGAGATGGAAACGAGTTTGTGGTATACGCACATGGTTAGGATGATTATATCGAAGTTGAATTAAGTGAAGTGGTGAAACAAGTTGAATTACAGTCGGAGTTGGCGTTTGGGGTGAGATTGTAGCGATGTGATTCGACATTACATAAAGCGTGGCTTGCGGGAAAAATATGTACAAATGAAATTGTTTAGCATTGTTAGAAAATGTATTGCATTTGACGAACTCTTTTGTTTTGATGGGTTTCGTGTGGAATTTTTTCAATATAACAGGGTAATGGTCTTAATATTGTGAGTAGTAAGGAAACTTCTCCCTTGAAGTAATACAATATGGAGAGAAACTGAAGATTGTGGGGAGGGGAATTTTAAGAGTCCATTGTCTTTGCCTCGAATAAATTTATTACATTTTATGTTTGCGTAATTATCATGATACATTTTTGATATCAATTATTTACATGATATTTCTTTTTACTTAAGACAGTATATTGTTATGAAAGTAAATTACAATATTTTGTTTTTCCCGCTTTGCCAACTGATTCTCATGTATATTCCACATGCATCAATTTTGTTCGTTTAAATATATCTTGTACTTAATCATACTATTTTGATACCATGTTTCTTTGAGAGTGTTTCTTTGAACATTTTAAATGTTTCTCCACTTCCTGGCTCAACCTCAATTGCTTATCTCGCATCGTTTTTACTCTCTACCCCACAAAGATTATTAAATATGTTTTAATACTCCGTGCGTGAAACTCGTTTTCCAGTGCTTGTTTTCCATGTTGAAAACAGCTAATTGTTTCACAGTGTGCGAAACATAGCAAAGCGTGTGCGAAAATTCTGAAGCGTGTTCGAAACATCGGTAACGATTAGCAATTGTCTTTCGTCTTCATGACATTTTTATTTATTATTTACAAACGATAGTGTTACGATGTTGACTGGAATCCATTTACTTTTGTACAAGTAAGGCGTATCTAGTTATTTGATATTTAATTTACATTTATTTACTTGACGCAATGCGTTCCGTTCATGGAATGTTAAAAAATTGTATACGAAACAAGATCGCAAGATGATTCCTGTACTGGTCTCTTTGTAACCGTAACTCCCTTTGCAAACGTTACTCGTGCGTGAATCATTTGTTTCGCGCCCTTGTTACTTAAACTATTTGGAGCAGCTAACTGGGCGGATGACTGCGACGTCAATACATCAATTGGTTCAACCACATTAGAATTCATTTAACTCTTCTCAGTTAATGTTTCTTGTGCATGGTATTGACAATAACGGTGGTAGGAAATTCTCAATAATTCTCAATAACCGTCGTTACCTGAAGAATTGTTTCATTAATGTTTTTGCCTAAGTGATTCGACAATGGTTAACTATAAATTTGATCCACTGCGGATAATAGCTGAGGCAATTTATTGATGATTGATTTAAAGGCAGTCAGCAACATAAAAACTTAGAGAAGCTGTGTATTTGTCTTGCGTGAAGAATATGGTGTAACACTATCAATGCATTTATCATCGTTGTTAAAATTTTGTTACATTTTCTCCGAAGAAAATGCCAGCCCAGTCATCGATGGCAGATTTACCGAAATTCAAAGCGGGCTAGTAAGAGGGTTGGCGGGAGATGCCGTAAGCCAGCAGGCAGCGTAATAGAGACCGCACCCTCGCGAGTGGTGGCGGCGGCGTCGGCGGTGGATGCTGATGCAGGGGGTGGGGTGGCAAACAAGGTTCTCTCACAAAAGACACAAGATGAAAAAACCGCCCCGCACATCCTCTCCCCTCTCGCGTTCCTCCTTCTCCTCCTCCTCCTCTCGGGCGCCTCGCCGTCCCTCACGTTGACGGTTCTCCCGGCATGGGTGCTGCTGAACAGTTTCCCCTCCTTGCCCCCGCCGCTCCCCTCCGCGCCGCGCCCACGGCTGCGGCCACCGCGCTCCCTCGCGCCGCCCCGCCGTTCCCGCATCGTCCCTACCTGCTTGTTCTATGAAATTTCAATCACAGAATTAATCTGGACGTCTTGGAACCGCTGGCTAATAACTTGCATGCAGAGGCGGTGGGGATGTGGGTGTGGCGGTGACAGCGGTGTGACGGCGACAGTGACTGTGAGGCGGGTTGCCAACTGTGGCTCGGAAGAGGTCGAAAAGTGGGGTAGCGGGAATGAGGAGGTAGTAACCTGTGCAAGGGGGTGAAGGCGACGGTGGGTCTTCGGAGATGGTGAGAACACGGTGAATGCGGGTACTGCGGTTGGAGTAGTAGATCGGGCGCGGGGGGCGTGGCCGGGGAGAAAGGGGTTTGGAAGAGGGATGTCGGCGCCTCGCAGCTTCTCCGACTCCCGCCTCCTCGGTGCGCCGACACCGCCGCCGGCTCCGAGCTGCCTGTTTAGCCATATATTGCTGTTGACTGAAGGTGAATGGGAGAGGGTTCGGGGGGAAGGGGGGCTGCGCCGGGGGTGGCTCCTCCCAAACGTTTGCCGCGGGGCTGATGCGCGGGAGTGAAGTGTCACATGCGACAATGTATGCAGAATATGCGGAACATCTACCTGACAACGAGAAGTGTTATGAACCCAAGAAACTACTAGATATTTATTTAACAAACAATTCCAGTGGTCGATAATTAGATACGAACTCACTCTATCGTAACGACATTTCATCACATGTATTTATCCCTCTATGATACAATTACATGGCATATATTTTATGTACGGGTGTGCATGATTGTGTGATTGAATGTATACCTAATGCAACACATATCACTCACGATCTGCTCTTTCGTCAATTGTCTTCTGAGTCAGTATTCCCAGCTTCTTTCCATAAATAGGATGAAAATACGAGACGTAATGTCCGAAAATAAAACTCAATAAAGATGAGTTAGAGATAAAATAACTATGAATATTAAAAGTATGGGAATGGTGTCGGAAATAGAGAGAACAATGACAATGAAAGGAAGAAAGACCTACGAAAACCATCGTTTTCGGCATCGACAATTTTGATAATTGAAATAAATGTAACCCTAAAAGAAAAACAACAAAATTTTTTTAAATAAAATAATATTACAAACAAATGCAGACGTGAAGATTTGATGAGAGAGGGATAATAAATCTCAGT